TTTGCAAGAGGGAAAGTCTCGGCAGCAAAGGTGGAAGAAGAATGGCGCCAATCATCAATCTAAGCGCAAAGACTCAGGGGAAAGGCTGCAAGAAAGGGAAAGGAAAAGGAAAGGCACGAAGAAGCACAGGGGCTGCAAGTTGTAGCTGCTGCTTGTCGATTGCTGGGCGGAGCAACGCATTCGTAGCGCTGCGCTTCTTTCAGGACAGGCATTTGGCGAGCTGTGAAGCTGCAGCGCCGTTGCCGGAAAATACTATCACGCGGAGCTCATTCAACCCTGCTTGCTTTGCGTAAACTACGGCGTTATGCTTTTTCAGGAATTCAGGAAGAGGCTCTTGGTGTGTGCGGCGTATCTGCTGGTTTGTCGCCGAAAATTACTGTTTTGAAGTTTTGCTGCGTGCAAAACATGCTTGAAGCTCATTCGCCCCTGCCTGTTCTGCGCAGAATCTTACCTTTTGTCGTTTCAGCGGCAGGCCTTTGGCATGCTGCGTGGCTGCTGCTTTGTCGCCGGATAACATGGAGTGTGTGCGCGCGCTTGTTTTTGTGCGCAGTGGCCAGGCAGGAAGGTTTGCCCGCAGCGTCTGATCCGCACGCATGCTTCAGTTCAAGGTTTGACTCGGGGCTAGTACTACTAGTCGTAGTAGTAGTAGAAGAAGTAGTAGTGGTAGTAGCAGTAGTAGTAGTAGTAGTAGCCGTAGTAGTGGTAGACGTAGTACTGGTAGTATCACAGTAGTAGGCGTAGTAGTAGCAGCGATAGTACTAGTAGTAGTGGTTGTAGTAGTAGTAGTAGTAGTAGTAGAATGAGTCGGCGTAGGAGTAGTAGTCGTAGAAATATCGTAGAAGCAGCAGGAGAAGTGGCAGCATCAGCGAAAGTGGCGCAGAAGGTTTGAGATGGTCTTAGTAGCATTAATCGCAACGGGGTTTGCAGGTGTGACCCGCCAGCGGCAAAACGAAATGAACTCACGATTGTTGCGGCAGTAGTAGCGGTACTAGTTAGTTAGTAGTAGCAGTAGTACTAGTAGTAGTAGTAGTGGTAGTGGTAGTAGAGGTACTACGAGTAGCAGTGGTAGCAGTAGTAGTAATAGTAGTAGTAGTAGTGGCAGTAGTCGTCGTATTAGTCGTAGTGGTATTCGGAATACTGGTAGTGCTAGTAGTAGTAAACCAAGGAATAATAGAGGGGTGGTCGTAAAAGTAGTAGAAGTAGTAGTAGTAGTAGTAGTAGTAGTAGTGGTGGTAGTAGTAGTAGCGGTAGTAGTAATTGCAGTAGTGGTAGTAGTAGTAGTACTAATAGTAGTAGTAGTAGTAGTAGTAGTAGTACTAGAAGTGGTGGTGGTGGCAGTGGTGGCGGTAGTGGCGGTAGTAGTAATGGTAGTAGTAGTAGTAGTAGTAGTAGTAGTAGTAGTAGTAGTAGTAGTAGTGGCAGTAGTGGTAGTGGTAGTGGCAGTGGTATGAGTAATAGTAGAAGAAGTAGTAGTAGTAGTGGTAGTGGTAGTGGTAGGAGTGCTGGTAGTAGTGGCAGTAATTGTAGCAGTAGCGCTAGTATTAGTAGTGATAGTAGTGGTAGTGGTAGTGGGAGTAGTAGTAGTAGTAGTAGTGTTCGTAATAGTGGTAGAAGTAGTAGTGGATGGAAGTAGTCGTAGTAATAGAGCGCTAGTGGTGGTTGAGCAACGCAAGGTGTAGAAGAAGAGTAGCAGGTTACGCCGTACGTTTTGGAAGGGTGTGATTCGGGAGTATGCTCCGGGGGTGTGATCGCCAAGGCCCTCTCTTCTGCCGTTTGAAGCAACTCAACACAACTAGGTTTGAGGCCAAGCGCCTTGGTGCGAAGGATCACTGTTGCGGGGGAAAAATCTGCTGCGTTTCTGTTGTTGGGCAGCACTGCTGGGTACTGCGGCACTCTTTCTTCCTGCTTGTTCTGCGCAAAGATGCAGCGTTACGCTTTTTGTCCTGTAGCCACTGCTGTGTCGCCGGAAACGACAGCTGTACATTGAAGGGACAGGCTCTTGGTACGCTGCGTAGCCGCTGCCGTGTTGCCGGAAGATACTTTGTATAATACGGCAGCAGTTCTGCCTGACGCTAATGTTTTTGCTTGTTCTGCGTAGAAAACAACGCCTTTGCTGCAGCAAGCTTGGGTGAGATTCACTGGTCGTTCAGGCCTGTTTATTTCAGCGCTACAGCCGACGCCCGGCAACGCCAGTAAGCTTTGAGTTTGGCCAGGGAAATGGATGCTGGCCAAAGGAAGCAGTTGGCTCACAACACACTCCTGCTATCTGGGGCGCATGCCAGTAAAAGCGGGACTGTCAGCACTGAAAACCCTCAAGTTGTTGAGTTGAGCGAAGCGCAACAAACTCTGAGCGAAGACAATCAGATACATACAAACAAACATTGGGAACCCCACCAACACGGCTTTTTGCAAAACCAACACCTATCCTCGCAGTTGCGCGCGGTTGTTTCCAATTGTTTGGATTAGTTAGCAGTTTTCTTCCAAATTCCCGAACAACTGCTTTTTTGCTACACCGAGCTGGACAGAAGAATGTCCACCCAGCTCTAAGGACACTATCGAACTAGATATTCGATGAGCCTGCAAAGGGCCCTTGCTCGGCTTATTGCGAAACTCCCCTAAAGGCTCCTCAAAGAGCACCTTTACGAACCTCCTCGCAAAAACCATAATGAAATTAGAATTTTATCTGAAAGCCAGGCTTCCTTAGCCCGTGGCAATTTCAACTGGGTGCGGATTTATGTGGGGGATTGTTTTCGTTCTTGTTTGACGTTTTTCCGTTTTTCCTCCCGGCCAGTAAAATGCCGTATTTTACAGCATTTTCTCGCACATTTTACGTATTTTACACTGGCCCGTCAACATGACCAGCATCGTTTTCAACACCCCCCGCATGTCCAACTAACACCCCCAGCTTCACCAACAAACCGTGGGTAACAAAATCTAAAAAGTAGCTGGCGAGTTGACGGGGCCGAAACAGTGATGATTCAAATAAGGAGCGTTTCGCTCGCTGCAGAGAAAATCTAAAAAGTAGCCGGGTTTGCAGAAGTGATGATTCGAACAGGGGTGCAATTTAATCTGTGCAAAAAATCCAACAAGCAGCAGGGGGCTGCGGGGGCGGAAGTGATGTTCAAGGAAGTGATGGTTCAAATAGGGGCGCAATGATTCAAGAAAGGGTACGCTACAATATAAAAAGCAGCGGGAGGGTTGGCGGGGGTGGATGTTCGAAGAAGCGCATACATACAAACATGCATAGATTATATAGATTACAAAAAAATGTCTTTTACAGCATTCTCTCGCCAAGTTTGACTCGAATAGGGGTGCAATGTATGTCTGCAAAATGTCTAAAAAGTAGCTGGGGGGTTGGGGGGTCCCATGATGTTCGAAGAAGTGATGATTAAAAAAGGGGGGGGCGATGATTCAAGAAGGGGTGCGGTAGAATATAAAAAGCAGCGGGGGGGTTGGCGGGGGTGGCTTTCTCTCTTTGAAGTGCATACGTACAAACATACATAGATTACATAGATTACATAGATTACATAAAATACTGAATTTTGCAGCATTCTCTCAAGGAATTGGATGCTCGAAACAATGATGACTCGAATAGGGGTGCAATCTAGTCTCTGCAAAATGTCTACAAAGCGGCGGGGGTTTGGGGGGGGGGGGGCAGCTTCCCCCCCATGATGTTTGAGGAAGTGATGATTCAAACAGGGGGTGCAATTGCATCTCTGAGAAAATTTGAAAAGTGGCGGGGGGTTGAGTTGTCGCCCCCCCCCCATGATGTTCAAGGAAGCGACGATTCAAATAGGGGCGCTGCGATGTTCCAGGAAAGGATGCGATAGAATAGCAAAGCAACGGGAGGGTTGCCGGGGGTATGATGTTCGAAGAAGTGCATACATACAAACATACATAGATTACATAGATTACATAGATTACGTAAAAAATCGTAATTTACAGCGTTTTCTTGCGAAACTGGATGCTCGAATACATATTGACTTGGGGGGGCAGCAGGCCCCCCCCCATGATGTTCAAGGAAGTGATGGTTCAAATAGGGGCGCGATGATTCAAGAAAGGGTACGCTACAGTATAAAAAGCAGCGGGAGGGTTGGCGGGGGTGGCTTCCCCTATGATGTTCGAAGAAGCGCATACAAACCTACATGGATTACATTAGTTACATAAAATATCATGTTTTACGCTTGGGCACGGGGGGGGGGGGGCAGACCCCCCCCATTGTGTTCAAGGAAGTGATGATTCAAATAGGGAGGGACTGGTGATGCTGAGGATTCGGGAAGCCAAAGCCACAAATCGATAAACCGTAGAGGAACTGGAAAGCAGAGGACGCAAAAGGCAAAATCAAAAGTCGCATAAACCAGCGAAAAGCTGCAAAAGCCACCTGGATTGAACTGGGAATGAAGAGGATGCGAAAAGCCAAAGCCAAAAAGCCACCAAAAGCCGCGTAAACCAACAAGAAGCTGAAAAGCCAAGAAGGCAAGAAGCCAAGAAGCCGAAAAGCCAAGAAGCCGAAAAGCCAAGAAGCCAAGGAGACAAAAGCGAAAACATCTCAAAAAGAAACGAAACATCCTAAAATACATCCCCCTCCACTTCAAAGGGAACCCCGAAATGGGGAACATGAGCTACGCGTACATATGAATATTTATAGATACATAGATCTATATAGACATATATGGAGGAGTTCAACGGGTTGGGCGCGTAAGTGTGTAAATATCCACTGAGTGTTACATTGACGTCGGAAGCTGCGGCGCAAAGAGAAACTCAATACACCAAACCCGCCTCACAACGTCAAGCCACCACTGCTCCTCAACACAAGAAGCTTGCGCAACTTGCCCTACCAAACATTCCCCACGCTGAGGTCATAGCATGTCTTAAATCCGTCTACAGGCGTCATGCATTCTGAGCTTTCTCAGCCAAAACGCTGCAAAAGGCATGGCGGTTTCTACCGGAACATGTCCTGTTTTGACAAGCCAATAACTGCAGAATCGTTGCCACGCAGCTCCTCCAAGTACGCACGCGCCTGTTGCTTGAGCTCGACAGCCACCGAGCGATCCTTCAGCGCGAGCTAATTCATTGCAGCACTTGTTTTTGCGTTTGTCTGGCTGCTGGCAGGCGCTGGTGTGCCAAGATCATGCGCAACATGGAGCTCGCTTGACTGCCGTGCTGCAAAATCTTCTTCACAAGTTGGGCAAACCGCGCCCATGCATGTGTGTAAACTGGACCCTGGTTTGAAGAGAGGTGCGGCTTCGACCCCACGGCGGCTCCACGCATCAGCGCTCATTTTAACACAGAAAGTGAGAGTATCTAGGGCAAGGCTCCGATTGGTTTGCGCGCCCGGCATCCCGCCCCCGTGCCTTTTTCTCCTTTTCGCTCGGCTGACAACTGCTGTTTGGCGGGCCGCACACTTGGCCGAAGCGCACGCGGAGCGAACACCCCGCAGCGTTCGTGCGCTCCAGGCAGCACGCGCTCAACTGGCTCAGAATCCTGCAGCCAGCCATCTGAGCCTGGGCTGGCTGAACTGTGCCGAAGCTGCCGCGGCGGCGGGCCATCGGCGCGAGCAGTGTGTGAACCAGCAGGAGCGTCCTCCGGCCGTGTCGCGCTGCGTAACAAAGGGCACGTCCGACTCTGGGCACGGCTCCTTCGCCCAAGATCTTTTAATATTTCCCTGGAGTTTTCTCAGGGCGAACCGAAATTCGTCGGAGCGAAGATCCTCACGATTTTCCGCGGAGGGCGACGGCAAGAACTCCTCTTAGAAGTGCGCCCGCAGGTCGGCAGCAGCAAGATGCGGGCGCAAGGCACGCCGCTGCCGCTCGGCTTCGCTTTGAAAGAACACGCCAAAGATCGTTGGGCCCATCCCTCTGCGACGCAAATTCAAGCGCCGCTGCAAAAAGTTGTAGCAGGCCCAGTTGAGCTTGCGCCCAAGACAACGCAAGAACGGACGCAACTGGGCGAAGCAAACGTGCGACGTCAGGCCACCAATAGCCTCCACAGGCAGCACCCTCGCCGCCAGAAAGTAATTGCGGCAGTTAGCTTGCCCCCTTTGTGCGAAGCGTGCCAAAAGGCAAGCGGCTTGCGCAAGAGGATGAGCAGCTCCCCTGCCTTCCCCTGCGGCGGCGCCAGACATTTCAATTATCTCTCCATGCTTTCAGCCACTGCGCCACGGCCACGCGCCGACAAGTTTCTGGCTGTCAACACACACACACACCACGCTCAGCAAAGCCGCCTGCGATGCCAAGCCTCGCGCGTGGTTTCCATGTGCGCATGGCTAATGCCATGATTTGCCAAACACCCAAACGACTAAATAAAAGCGGCCAACGGCCAAGCGTTGGGAAAAACCAAGCGAACAGAACCAGCAGCGTGGCAGCAGGCGTACGAGTGCAAGCATCAGCTGCTATCCACGACCACTGCAAAGTGGCCAGAGGCACACACGACGCCCTGCAAAGCAACTCTTTCTGCGAAATTCGCCCGGCCAGTCCGTGCGTAACCTGCCCACGCCGAGCCGCCCTTCCTTCCGAACAGCACGGACTCGACAGCATCGACATCAAAGTAGACTGAGATAAGCGTAGCAATCCAATCTAAACTCTCTTAACTACACACCTACCTGCCTACCTAGCTACTATCCATCTAGGTTTAGGTACTTATCTTATACATCCACCCATCCATGCATCCACCCACCCAGGTCTATACATATGTACACATACAGAGATCTATCTACCCGCCCTCTGTCTCTCGCCGCTGCGCCTGGCGCCGCCCAATCTGTAACTGACCTTGCGAAAGCCTGTCCTCGCGAAAGCGCTGCGCCTGCCGCGGAATCTGCGCCTGACAGCACTGCGACTGCCGAAAGCGAACGCTCCCTGGCCTTGCGAAAGCGCTGCGCCTGCCACAAAGCTGATCGCAATTATCAAGGTCGAAGCCCGCTTGGGCGGGACGCCGCGAAAATACCGTCTGACCGCGTCTGCCCGTCTGCCCGCGCGTGCTGTGAAAGGTCTGAAAAGAAATCCTTTACTTGACCGTGGAGATCCGCGACAACCTGCGAAAATGCGGCGTGGCCCCGAAAATCCCACATGGCCGTGAAAGTTGCAATTGCGGTCGCAAGCAGTATGGCCTTGCAAACCTCACCTTGTGAAAGTGTTGCGGCTGCCACAAAATCTGTACCTAACCTTGAGAAAGCGCTGCGCCTGCCACGAAAGCTGCGCCGGCCTGCGGAACGCACCGCGCATGCCACTAAATCTCACCTGAGCAGCGCTCAAAACAGATCGAGATTTGGTTACCCTCATAGCTCTCCTTCGCGGAGCCTTCGCGAAGCTTTCGCGCGTGCGTATTTTCGTTTCGCGGCGGCTTGTTTTGCATCAGCCCTTTCGCAGCGCTTTCGCGGCGCTACACCAAGCACACTTGGTAGCTCCGGCCTTAAAGGGCAACTTTTCCAAACGGGCGTCTTTTCAGTATAAGAACCATGAGCAGAAGAGGCCACCCCCTTAGATCCTAGACTCGCGCCTTTCGCAGAGCATTCGCAAAACTTTCACGGAGCCGTCGCGCAAATCCCCCCGCATTTTCGAAACTGGCGAACAGGCTGCGCACACGCGCGGGCAATTGTATACTTTCGCACGGCCCAGGCGCTTCCTGCCCCAAACGCCGTCTGAATGCACAAGTAGCCCTTTCGCGGAGCGATGTTTTTGGAAACGCTTTTGCACGCGTTCGCGATGCAGGGGTTTCCTTTCGCGGAAGCAAGCTATGTTGGAAGCCGTTTACTCTACCCGGCAGAGAGATGGGACATTTACGACGTACATTTTTAGGTCAGTTGGCACATATCTTCAATTATCCGGCGAATTGTGCCATCTACTAGCTCGAAAAATGTGGGGGTATCCGGGGGGGGGGTCAAAAAATGTGCCATCTGTTTTGCAAACATGTCCGCCGACCCCTTTGCCTCTTCTGTGAGTGGATCGGAGTGAAGTGTGGAGTGGAGTGGAGTGGGGTGGAGTGGAGTGGAGTGGAGCGGAGTGGGGTGGAGAAGGTGGGAGGGGAGGGGATTGCGAGGCGAGGCCTTTTCGGTCCTCTACATGGGTCTCCCGTTTCCGGGCCAGCCGGAGCAAGAGCTTTAATTAAACTGCAAATATCACGCATATGTGTTCGGACTTTTTTAAAGGCTCATTTCATTTCAAACTTTTTGAATTTGACTCACTACATTTCCATTGTGACAATTCAGACCTACTGATGCATGTTATCAGCCGACATCAGCTGACCAAACACTTAGAAACGTTTGGAAAGGACAGTGGTGCCCAAAAGGAAGCTGCGGCCTCGTAGCACACCTCCTAGGCTTTCCGCAACATGGCTCCATTTTTGGGTTACATGCTGCATGGGGACGGTATCGACATCGTCATGAAGGTCCTCGGGCGCGGTTCAGGTGGATTTCTGGCAAAGCAGTTGCATGACGGCTTGGACATCATCGTGCTAAGCAATCGCTTACCGCTGGGTGCAATCACCACCTACAATATGCAGGTGCAATGCCAAGCGCCTCTCACACTGTCGGTTGGGCCCAACAGTTGGCGGACCTCGTCAAGCTTCCAGCCCACAACGCTCGAACCCCGCATTCTTGAGCTATGTGCAGGCTTCGGTGGAATGGGTGTTGGAGCCGCTTATTTCGGAGCACGTGCGTCGGCCAGCATGGACAACAACCCCACATCCATCGCACATCTTCGGAAGAACTCGGGCACCCCCGTGCTGCAGTTGGATATCACAGATCCCAAAGCGTCGGAACGTATCCACAGGTTCACTCAGGGCTTCGCCCACACGGCAGCTTTTGGATTTCCATGTCAACCTTTTGCGGCCCAGGGCCAATGCCGGGGGATGGCCAGCTCAGCGGCCTTCCATGCTGGATTGAGGATCATTTATTACACCCAATGCCAGGCTGCAATCTGCGAGTGCGTGCCCAACGCAGCGCTCACTTCATCAGCTTGCAGCTGTAATGAATTGGGAGGTCTGCAGTATCAATCTCGAGTTGGCCGACAAATGGCCGAACAAACGAAACCGCTGGTGGGCTCTGCTTGGCTGACGGAGGGCATCACGCCCTGGCCAAAGAACACGGACTATGACATCATCCAGGATATCCTTCAGGATTGGGGTCACTTGGCTGCAGAAGATGAACGATTGCTCGAGCGCTCTGACTTCGAGCTCAGTACCTACTCCAACCCAGAATACGGCCGAGACCGACAAGGGCTTGGCCTTCAGCACAAAGCAGATGCCTTCCTTCATTCATACTCCAACGCACTCTCAGGGTGCCCACGTGCGTGCCGCTAGTTGGGCTTCAGCACGCACTCGCTTCGGTTTCTACATCCACTCGCCCAACAGCGGCAAATACAGGTTCCTTCATCCACGCAAGGTCGCGCTCCTCCTTGGGGTGCCATCATCGATCACCTACTCTGACGACCTCAAATCAGACCTCTGCCTACTCGGCCTCATCGCATCACCCATTTGGATCTACGCACAGCTCTGGTGCAACTTTGCCAAAGCGACGGCCAGAGACACAGTTCTCACGCCTGCCATCATCCTCAGGAACTACCAGCGCGAGCTGCTCTCGCAATTCGCAGCGGCGCGCCCCAACAGCCGAACGATCAATGAGGTCATGACCGATGAGGGCCTGTCACTGCAGCTGCCCTCGCAATGCGCCATTCCAGCCCACGCAGTCCTTCTCGCAGAGCGCATCAACAATGGATGGGGATTCAAGCGCTGCTTCATCAACGAACTTGGCCAGCCGGATCCGCAGCCTCAATTGAGAAGGATGTCCTCCACACAGTCACCAAAAGAATGCGTATTGCTCCACCCCAGGACGACATCAGCATCACTATCCACCACGGCGAGGACACCCTACGCTCCCGGATCAAGCCTGGCACCTTCCCATTTCTCGCACTCCGCCAGCAGGGTTGCGAACACAACTTCGTCTATGATGAGCAGTACAACCTCATTGGAGTTGACGACCGAGCTTGGCGCTCTTTCTCAATCACAACAACTACGACTACACCCACTGGTACCCTTCTCCACTCCTTTGGAGCTGGGACC